ATTTTTAAATAAAAGTATACAAAATTAACATCTTTATTTACACATTTTTCCTTTAAATAACATGTCAACAAAATTTACAAGTAAACCAAACATCATTTTGACATGGTCCCAAAAGTAGTTCAATTAAACTCTGGGGGTGTCACCTTCACCCAACAATGGGCTGAACACCATGTGAGGAGGTGGTGAGAAATGTTGGTAGTTGCACATATTTAGTTGATCCCTTCTGGTGATAGTTTTTTATGGGCTCTCTGCCTTTCCCTGGTGAACTAAAAGCCCGCACATTACCATGACTGGTGCCCTCAACAGCAGGAAATTGAATGTGCTAGAGGTCATTTATGTCCTGTTTGGTTTCAGCAAAATTCCAAGTAAAATTTATGACTATGGTGATTTTCAGTATAGATTATATATACATTTGTATAGTTTGAATATTAAAATTATTAAAATACCATAAATTGATAAATATAAAGTGTAGTTTTATTAAGAATATTTTGGTAATTTTAGTATCAAGTTATAAAAAAATGCAATATGTACTAAAAAATATTTTTCTAAAAATTTATATCTTGATAATTATTTTATTTATTCTTTTTTTTCCTTAATTATTCTATCTTTTGTACTAAATAAAAATTCTTTAACAAACATGAAGAAAATTAATTCTTTAACAAATATGATGATTATATCTTGGTGAGGAAGAGGAAGGTTTTGGTTTAAAAATAAATGAAAAAATATAGTCAAAAGTCCAGATTTTGAACAATATGTGAAATTTTATTTATTCAAGAACTATTTGTACAAGAACTCAGCAGATAAGATATATGTCCTAACATATAAAAAATTCTTATTTATTATTGTACTATCAATTCATATTATAAACGAAATCTCTAAGATTCAAACAATTATTTGATTAACAATTAGAGGCTACTATTAAATGATTTAAGAATAATTTTTTATATTATTTTTTTTATAATTTTATATATTATTTAAATAATTAATTATTTTTATTTATTTAAAATTTATGATATTAAATATATTTTTTTATTTAATAATATATAAAATAATAATATAAAAAATTATCTTTTTTGTTTATAACGGATCAAATTCAAATCGTTACTTAGAAAAAAAGATACACTTAAATATAATTTAACATTACTAAATTCAAAAATTCAAGTATATAAAAAAATTATTCTTATACCATTACCTTAGCAAAATTGCATTGCCCGGTACAAATCCTATTCTCACACAAGCTGCGATTCTCCTCGAGCCAAAATTGGACAACATTTACTTTTTCATTAACATTTTTTCTATTTTTGTTTTTTATATTAGATTCTACTCCTATTTTTCAATTACTTGAATTAGATATTTTTTATCTTAAATTACATAACAAAAAATAATTTTTTTATATTTTTTAATTTCATTTCACACTTATATTATATAAGTTTTAAAAGTTTTTTTCTTTTATAAAAAAATAATACTGAATTATTTCGTTGTTCTTACTCAAACCAGCCTCTTACTTTCCAGAAAAAGTGATTACTGCCGAGAAAAAAAATTTTTCCATTCATTTTCTTTTGTTGTTGGATCGATCCTCCACCTTTCAGAATTCACATTTGAGTACCAAAAAAAAATGCAAATTCGCGTCGCGTGGATTCGCATTCCACAGGCTGCAGCCATAGCACGAGCAAAACGAAATCAATTCAGTTTCACTTCGCTTCTACACAGAACGGCTTCACCAAACCGCAGTCTCTCCCTTTTCCCCTTTCTCTTTCCTAACTCCAACATCTATGGCGTCTCTTCATTGGATCTGATTCTCTCCCCAAAACCCATATACCCTTTTCCCCTGTCCCTTGATCTAATTCCCAGAATCGCAGCATAATCGAAGACCCATTACGCATTGAACCCAAAAACTGCAGAAGAAGAAGGAGATAACGCAACCCAAAAGGAGTAATTTTGTTTTTCTTGTCTTCTGGTCCGGATCCGACCGGTGGATTGTGTTTGCGGGCACTCCCTGAATTGAAATGGGAATGCCCGTAAAGCAAGCATGAGCAAAAACACCGGCGGCGGCGACAACAACGACGAAGACGAAGACGAGTGCTTCTACGAGTCCCTTGATCGCATTGCCTCCTCCAATTCCTGTTCCTGTTCCAACTCTGCATCGCCTTCCGACTCCGATTCCGACCCTGTTTCCCGATCGGATTCCGCCACCAGCTATGGCAATCCATTTCGAGTCCCGAAATTTCCCAAGGCGGTATCCAAGTTTGACATCTGGATCTCTGAGCCGGCGTCGGTGTCCGAGCGCCGGAGTCGTCTGCTCCGTGAGATGGGCCTCAGTCGTGACCCGGGTTTGTCTCGGTCAAAACCCGAATCCAATAGTGGGGGTAAGGGAATCGATAATGGGGACTACGGCCGATCGCCGTCTTCCGATCGGTTGAGTCGGCAGAAGCCAGGGCGAGGTCAGGGGCAGGACATTGGCATAGCCCGATCGGACGGTGCAGGAGTGCGCAATGGTGGTGGTGGTGATGGTCAAGGTGAATGCAATACGTCTACTGTTTCTTCTTCTTCGGTTTGTTCGTCTTCCATTCTTTCCGTTGGTTCTTCTGTCTCTAGAGAGCTTGCAACTGATTGTTCTTCTTCACCTTTTGTAAATAATAATAGCCATGGCTGTGAATTAAAGAATTGGGATCGTGATGGTATGGATGAAGTTAAGTTGAAAAGCTGCAAAATTAATGGATCTGCTTGTAGTAATTGTGTTGGTAATGCTGTTTTGCCAAATAAGCCACCGACGGGGAAAAATTGTAGGAATGAGTCTACAAGTCTGAGTGCTGGGTTTGGCTGTAATTCATTGCCTGATCTGAGGGATGCCCGCACTGGTGGAGATGTGGTGGAGGAGGTGGATTGTGGTGCACAAGTGTGTACTATTAAGAACCTTGATAATGGCAAGGAGTTTGTGGTCAATGAGATTAGAGAAGATGGGATGTGGAACAAGTTAAAGGAAGTGGGGACTGGGAGGCAATTGACAATGGAGGAGTTTGAGATGTGTGTAGGGCATTCTCCCATTGTGCAAGAATTAATGAGGCGGCAGAATAATGAGGGTCATAAAGATAATGTGGATTCCAATCCAAATGGCAATGTTAATGGCATATCAAAATTGAAGAAGAAAGGGGGTTGGTTAAAGAGCATTAGGAGTGTTGCAAACAGTGTAACAGGCCATAAGGAGAGACGGAGCAGTGACGAGAGGGATACCGCATCTGAGAAGGGTGGGAGAAGGTCAAGCTCTGCCACAGATGATAGCCAGGACGTTTCTTTTCATGGACCAGAGAGAGTGAGGGTGAGGCAGTATGGAAAGTCATCTAAAGAGCTCACAGCTTTGTACAAGTGCCAGGAGATACAGGCCCATACTGGGTCTATTTGGAGTATCAAGTTTAGTTTGGATGGAAGGTATCTTGCAAGCGCAGGTGAGGATTGTGTCATTCATGTTTGGCAGGTAGTGGAAGCAGAGAGGAAGGGGGAGTTGTTGATGGAGAAGCCAGATGACGGGAATCTTAATTTCTTGTTTTTGGCTAATGGTTCCCCCGAACCAACACTGTTGTCACCAGGTTGTGATAACTATCTTGAGAAGAAGAAAAAGGGGAGGACATCTATAAGCCGGAAGTCAGTGAGTTTGGAGCACACTATTGTGCCAGAGACAGTTTTTGCGCTTATGGAAAAACCCATTTGTTCATTCGAAGGGCATTTGGATGATGTGCTTGATCTTTCATGGTCCAAGTCTCAGGTGTGTTACCATTTTGAGACTGTTCAGTTCAAACCATATATCAATGTAAAATTGTCTTATCTGTTTGGCTATTACTTATTATTCTGTTAACCTGTAGTATCTGAAGTACCAATTCCAATCCTATACCTTTTTCAATTCCTCTTTATCCCTTTTAGAAGCTTTATAGTTTTGGATGATACCTTCTCATCCTGAATCTGAAGTATTACTATTCTTGAAAATTGTACTTTTAATTACCTATGCATTTAGTTCTGGTGATCAATGAACTAAGGAATCATGTTTTATATCTACTAGCATTTAGCCAATGATAGAAAATGGAGTGAAATGTTTTTTCCTAGTTTATGGAGTTTTGATTCTCATTGAGGTGGATTTTTTTAAAATTAACTTCATGGAAAGTTTTAAGTGAAAATTTTGCAGCAAAAGTTTGGCAGCAATTTAGAAGATGCATCCAAGCTGTATTTTGTATCCATTGGAGGGCATTGCTGAGAGCTAAAAACCTCAATGGAACCTAGAAAATCCAAATGTTTGTTGAAGTAATTGTTTTAAATTACCTTTGAGCAACTTTTTTAGTTGCTGTAATTGTTGTTTACTCAGATAATCTCCATGTAGATCATCTTATCATTCTTCTTTGTCATGTGCTGATCACCCTATCGAATTGAGTATTTGTTGGCTTTAGAACCATGAACCAATTGCATACTTCTGCAGAATCTCCAATTAAGGATTTCATATTTCTTTGTCTTTCAGCATTTGCTTTCATCATCCATGGACAAAACAGTGCGGCTATGGCACTTGTCCAGCAACACCTGTTTAAAAATCTTTTCGCACAATGACTATGGTAAGTACTTTTCTTTATGACATCCATTGTTGACAACTATTATAGCCTCTTATTATTATTATTATTATTATTATTATTTTTAAAGCCAAAAATTGATATTAATTGGGAGTATAAGGGGTACTCCAACCCATTGCAAAGCTATTCCTCTCTTCTTACCAACTCCCTCAACTTCCCAAAAAGGTGCTCAGCCTCTTATTATTTGTAATAAGTAAACCATGTCAAATTGATGATTTATTTAAGATTTACTTTGCACTCCATACTTTTAAGTGAATTGATTGTCAAAACAAATGAACAACATGAAAAGCTCTCTCTTTCCCAACTTGTTTATATATGCTAATCATGCTTTATGCCTTTAAATCTTCATTGTCACAGTGACTTGCATCCAGTTTAATCCAGTTGATGATAGATACTTCATTAGTGGATCTCTAGATGCTAAAGTTCGCATATGGAGCATTCCTGATCGTCAAGTTGTTGATTGGAATGATCTTCATGAGATGGTCACTGCTGCTTGCTATACACCAGATGGTCAGGTTGGATGTCATTGACATGCTTCCAGGTACTACATTATGGAATACTTAATCTATATTGAGGCTCACTTAAATTTTATTGACCTTTGAAGGGCGCCCTAGTTGGTTCTTACAAGGGGAGCTGTCATTTATACAACACATCTGGTACATGCTTATGAATCCCTCCCTCTCATGTACTGTGTATGCATGTGTTTAATATGGTGGTCTTTTTAATCTTTCTTAATGGTTGTACTTTAGAGAATAAGTTCCAACAAAAATGTCAAATCAATCTGGAGAATAAGAAGAAGAAAGCTCATCAAAAGAAAATCACTGGTTTCCAGGTATCTCAATTCCTGCTATTTTTTTTTTTTTTTAATTTATGACCTGTTCCATATTTTCTTTGTCACTTGTTCATTTTACTATTTCAGTTGCTAATTACTGCACAAAACAGTTTGCCCCAGGAAGTTCATCGGAAGTGCTTATCACATCCACAGATTCTCGAATTCGTGTTGTTGACGGTGTTGATCTCGTTCACAAGTTTAAGGGTAAGAATACATGGGATGGATGATTCTTCTCCTACTATTTCTGTCTCTTTTCCAGAAAAGAAGTTTACCATTGCTATCCATCTGTTCCTTTGAAATGAGCCTAGTTCTCTTACTCTCATCTGTCATATATATTAAATAAGTCCACAAGACCAAAGTATATGCTTACATTTAAAGTTGTGTCTGGCTGTGGAAACTTATCACTGCTTGACTCTCAATGTCAACTGGCAACTCTGAGAGAACTTTTGGGTGGAAAATTTTGCCCCTGTTTGGTTTGAGGGGAGAGGAGGGGAGGGGAGGCAATGTCCTTCCATTTCCCATCGCTACCTTTCCCTCCCCTTAAACCAAACAAGCTAAGTCTTATATTCTAAACTGCTGTGTATGCTACTAAGTCTATCTATAAGCATTAGTATGTTTTCTGCAATACATTTATTTTTGAAATCATTTTCCTGTATTTAAAGTTGATTATAATAAACTATGCTGATAAAGAAAAAAAAAAAAATTAAATATGAACTGTATCTATATGCCATCTCATTTATCCCTCTAACATTACAGCCAGGTAAGCTAAAATCATGAATCATGTTTGTGGCTAACCATCACATGTCCAGTTAAAATCTCTAAGGAGGTCAATTGAGCTTTTCATGGTTTATGAATTTAATCCAGGATATGTAATTACGGCTTTATTTAATACAGTACTGTCATTTTATCATTGCTAGGTAGCTGGGTTTTCACAAGTTGGTTTTGGTTCATTGACAGGGTTCCGGAACCTGAACAGCCAAATCTCAGGTTCCCTCACGGCAAATGGAAGATATGTTGTCTCTGCTAGTGACGACTCGTATGTGTTTGTTTGGAAACATGAATCAGAATCCCGACCTAGCAGAAATAAAGGAGTTACTTTGACACACTCGTATGAGCATTTCCATTGTAAAGATGTATCAGTGGCCATCCCCTGGCCTGGCATGGGTGATGGATGGGTACTACATGATACAAATTCAAACATTCAAAACAATCTAGATGAAGTTCCCACGGTCAATCATCCTCCTACACCTGTTGAGGAGTTTCTTGGTAATGATTCATTATTGGCATCAGGGTGCATTAACAGTCCACTTCATGGAACCATTTGTAGTGCAACCAACAGTTACTTCTTTGACAGAATCTCAGCAACATGGCCAGAGGAGAGACTTCTTCTAGCCACTAGGAGGAGGAGCCCAAGGACTAGTGTGGATTTCTCTAGCATGGCAAACCCAAACATATCAGCCTGGGGTATGGTGATTGTGACTGCTGGTGTTAGAGGGGAAATTAAAACTTTCCAGAACTTTGGGTTGCCAGTTCGGATTTAGGGCAGCACAAAGGCAGACATCAATGGCCTCAAGCACCGGGTAAATGAGTTGATAACACAACTTAGTACAGCACAGCCCATTTCCCCCCTGGTTAAATCGTGTACAGAGAGATATTGGGTGAGATTTGTAATATTAACGTGTTTAATTTCTTCTTTCTTTTATGCATGTGCTCATCAGATCCGAAGGAAGGAAAGCTATTCTGATTGAGCGTAGAGCAAGACATAGATTTGTTCAGGGGAGAAAAAAAAAAAAAAAGGAGGGGGGGGGGGGTGGGGGGAAGCAGAGGAACTACACTATGAATTTAGAAATCCATGTATTGCAGCAGTACCAGGAATTGTAGAGTTGTGAGCATTGCAAAAGCTTATTGAATTGAAAAATGAAAATTCTTTTACAATTCATTTGCACCTGTCCTTTAGCCTGTTCCAGAAACTTCATATACCAATGTCATAGGGTGTATTTGGTTTTGCTAATTTTCATTAAGGTATAGGTTCCTTCTTCTTCTTCTTCTTCTTCTTCCCTTTTTTTTTTTTTTTTTTTTTGTGTGTGTGTATTCTTAAACGGTAGTCAGGGTGTTAGGGGTGATATTTTTATAATTTTTTTAAATTATTAAATAATAAATTTCAGCTGATCTAGTTAATAATTATACGTAATACTTGTTCTTTAAAGAGCAAGTTAGGATGTTTGATACATCTTTTTCTACTCCATTTTTTTTAAAGACTTGACGATATTCTTCTCTTACTTATTTCAGGAGCTTGAATATGAGATTTTCAATTTAGTGTTTGAACTTCGAAGTTCATAATCATTTAAAATACCCTTTAAGATCACATCTCTTTTTACTTCTCATTCCAAACGTCCAACTTGAGACCTTTCAATTCAAGATAAAAATTTAACTCTTTTTTTTTTTTTTTTGTTGATAAAGATAATAGTTAGTAAGTTAATTTTTATTAATGATTAAAAATTAAAAATTCAATTCTCAAATTCAGTGAATATCCTATCTTCCTCAATGAGAGGCGCAATCCTTTGACCGCTTGGTGGAATTCATTAACTCCATTTACAATTTGCTTTACAAGTACCAAAGCAGCCAAAACTCTGTTTCAAGTACTCCCCCAATCCTATCCCCTATCCACACAACGCACCAACTCCCTGTCTTTTTCGACACTGTCATCATAGATACCTCAGCCCATAACTCTGAGCAGCAGGGGAGCGTAATGGTGAGGGGACAAAAATATCCCCTTACTAGGAGAAAAAACATGTATAAAAATGTCATAGGAAATCCAAAGCCCAAACCCTCATTGGCTGGTTGAAATTGATACGGTAGATATGTGGGCCTCCTAATCCTAATTATCTAATCTTCTCAAATATCCAAAAGCACTGTTCTTTTGTGTCACAAAATACCCACCTCCTCCCTATATAATGCACCCTCCAAAAATCTTCTATTCCACACTATACTACACTGGTAGTACTTAGCTCAGCTTCACTTCAAACCATTTTCAGAAGTTGGAAAGGGAAGGATTCTGAATAACCC